TCCGTTGAGGCTGACATCGCCAACCTTCGCCGCCTGCTGGACCAGACCACCCTGACCAAGGCCGACCTGGAGTTGCAGATCGAAGGCCTGCAGGATGAGTTGGCCTATCTGAAGAAGAACCACGCAGAGGTGATGGGGAAACGTCTAGAAAAGACCTGCTTGTCCCCCTTGAACTGATCTCGATGCTGAATTCTCGCTCTGACTCATTCAGGAACTTGCAGCAATGCGCTCTCAGCTCACCGGCACAGTCAACGTGGAGGTGGAGGCCGCACCTCAGCAAGACCTGAACAAAGTCCTGGAGGAGATCCGTGCCCAGTATGAGGCCATCACTGACAAACATCGTCGGGATCAGGAGGCGTGGTTTAATGACAAGGTGAGAGTTTGACATAAACAAAGGAATGAGTGGGTAAAATGACCAGGTTCCCTCCCTCAGCAGCCTGCTCTGTCATTAGACGTAATCTTCTAAAGTAAGTCATCACCAAGATGTCTGCTTTTGTTTTTACTCTTCATCCAGTCGGCAGCGCTGTCCAAAGAGGTGGCCATCAGCACAGAAACAATCCAGACGTCCAAGACAGAGATCGGTGACCTGCGGCGCACTCTTCAGGGTCTGGAAATAGAGCTGCAGTCCCAGCTCAGCATGGTGAGTAACAACCCCCCTAAACCCAACAGCACAAGCTGACATCTCACTGATCCTGCCTTATAAGAGCAAGCTTGCAGCCAGGACAGCGAGAAGAAGGAGTTAGGGCGCGGAGCAGAGGGGGGGAGGTTTGAACTCCCAGAACCAAGGGAGGAGCTCCTACTCAGGAAAACATTTCACAGACATCTGCTCAAACTCTGAGAGTCATAAAAGAGCTTGAAGAGAGCTGGAGGAATGCAGGAGGGGACGTTTGTCTGAGTCCAGCAGCAGTGAGTCACTCAGCACTCCCTGGAACAGCAAACAGAGGAGGAGAGGCTAAGTAGCCGACAGCATCAGACCCAGCAGCTCTTTATCCTCCTAAAAACAGAAAACAATGTCCCTTTTGTTTCTGACTTGTAGCATCCAGGGCGTGGCTGGTGCAAACAGAGCCCAGCGTCTAACCGACTAAACCCGTAAACGGCTCTGCAGGGCCAGGCCGCACACAGTAACCTAACCCAGCCCTTCACCTCTGCCACAGAAAGCAGCTCTGGAAAACACGCTAGCAGAGACAGAGGCTCGGTACGGCAACATGCTCGCCGGCTACCAGAACAACATCCACATGCTCGAAGGGGAGCTCGCCAATGTGCGCGCCAGCATCGAGCAGCAAGGTCAGGACTACAAACTGCTGCTAGATGTCAAGACGCGGCTGGAGCACGAGATCGCCACCTACAGGAGCCTGCTGGAGACAGAGGAGTCCAGGTAAACACAAGTGAGTGGGAATACGCGAGTTCCTCATGAAACAAATGCACAAACCTCATTTTATTTCCCTTTTCTCTCATTCTCTTTGTTTTAGACCAATCAGCACTGGTAAGCTGCGTCGTTCTTAATCAGTTTAGAGAAAAAACAAAGCAGAGGATTTTATGGTGGCCCTAACGAACGCTGCTCCTCTTTTCCAGGAGGCTCAACGACCACAATTAAAACCACCACCGTACGCTCGTCCAGCTGAGAGGCTCGACTGGCAGGACAAGCAGTTTCACACACACACACACACACACACACACACACACACACACACACACACACACACACACACACACACACACACACACACACACACACACACACACACACACACACACACACACACACTCACACACACACACCAGACGAGAGAAGATCTACTAAAAAGTTGTGTGGTTCCGTGTGTGTTAATGTGTGTGTGAGACCTGTCTAATAAACAAATCTGCTGGTGGAGATAAGAGCTGTGTTGCTTTCTGACTCTACGACCCCTCACAAGAATGTGTGTTTTCCATGAGATCACCGTGTTTATGCCGTCTCCATGGTAACTGCTCTACAGTTTGAGAGGTGGGATGAGGGGCCAAGGAAACTTGCACAACAGGGCTGCTCTCAGGAAAAGGGTGAACAATTGGGAAGAGCTGGAGTGTGGAAAGCTTTAGGATTCAGAGGAAGAGCCAGAAGGAGAGCTGAGCTGCACAGAAACAAAATTAAGCAAGACCCCGAGTTTCCCCCAAAGAGTTTTTTAAACAAGACACACCCAAGTGGTTGACTAATCTTTGGGTGCTTTTCAATGCTGTTGACGTTAGTTTACTTCCCGTCACCTAGAAACAAGAACACACACGGCTCGGGACAGAAACGTAGTGGGAAACTGTGCAAACAGTGAGTAAGAGAACAAAGAGCCGGTGTGGAAACAGGTGCTATCAGAACCGGACTCTGACCTCTTCTGTGAACTCCCAATAATGACTAACTGCCGGTGGCGGTGTGATGGAGTGCCGTTCAGGGCGTGGCACCTCGGCTGCTGGTGTTTGTGATATCTGAAGGGCGCTGAAACCCTGAGAGAACCTCAAGATTCCCAGATGATAACGTAGTGTTGGGAACGCTGATCTCAGCCCTTCCCAAGGAGCTTCGCTCGCACAAATGTCTTGTTGCACATCAACGTCACTTCTTCGTGGTTTTAAATCGAGCTGAGTGCAAAGTGCTTTTATCCGTGTAACGTTTCGAAAGTAAAATGTAGAGCAGAGGTCATGCAAAGATGCTGAGAGCACATGAAGCCGCTTTGCTCAGATCTTTAACCAGATAAATGACTGTCGGCTTACTTGGTCTTTTCTCCCGTGAAAGCGTATTTTCCTCTATGCATCACGTTCATATGGAGCAAACATTCAGATGTTACAAGGAAAAACAGCCCAATCTGTCCTGAAAGTGTGTGACTAATGGTGTCGTTCCACATGAACCTGCTCCTAGCAGGAAGGACAATCTGGATCCGTGCACGCTAACCCTAATCCCTCGTTTACACACAGCACAGAGCAGATGCAGACCAGAATCCGTGTGGTTTTAGGAGCGACTGCCGTTTTCACCGGCAGCAAAAAAAAAGGTTCCGTGACCAATCCGGGTAGGTTGTCTGGACCGGTTTTACAATCAGAACAGAAACATTTGCTACCCGATCCTTGCCAGTTTGGGCGATGGAAATGACCTACTAAGGAGTTCACCATTCCATTACATACCATACCAGGCCATACCATACCAGACCAGACCGGACCATGCCATGCTATGCCATGCCATGCCAGACCAATCCCGACCAGACCAGACCATGCCATGTCATGCCAGACCAATCCCGACTCGACCATACCAGACCATGCCATACCATGCCAGACCAGACCAGACCAGGCCAGGCCATGCCATGCCATGCCATGCCATGCCAGACCAATCCCGACCCGACCCGACTAGACCAGACCAGACCATGCCATGCCATGCCAGACCAATCCTGACTCGATCATACCAGACCATGCCATACCATGCCAGACCAGACCAGACCAGGCCAGGCCATGCCATGCCATGCCATGCCATGCCAGACCAATCCCGACCCGACCCGACCCGACTAGACCATGCCATGCCATGCCATGCCATGCCAGACCAATCCCGACCCGACCCGACTAGACCAGACCATGCCATGCCATGCCAGACCACTCCTGACTCGATCATACCATACCAGACAAGATCAGAACATACCATGCCATGCCAGACCAGACCAGACCAGACCAGACCAGAGCAGATCAGACTGGATTTTCACCCAGATCTCATATGGGAATCTTGACAGCCATAAAATACAGCAGTTAACTAAATGTGTGCGCTTACAATTAGAACTAATGCCTTTAAGCCATCTAAACAATAAATCCAAAGAAATGTAAACGTATAAACTGAAATCATGAAAGTGTATGAGAGTACTTACGTTCACTGTTGTGTGGACATGGATGTGGCCATCACACAGAGTCTTTACAGCAATCCTCATACTAAGCAAGCATGCAGCGACAGTGGAGAGGAAAACTCCCTTTTAACAGGAAGAAACCTCCAGAGGATCCTGGCTCAGTATAAGCATCCATCCGCTCAATAAAGAATGGTATCTAAACATCCTCCTGGAGGAACACCTAAACCATTCTACAAGTTTGGTGATGAAAGGACTTTTGATTGGAGCATCATGCCAAACCTTAAGACTTTGGGAAACCCAAGACCATAATCCTGTGCAGACGATTCTCAGGAGGACAGGGGACAAAATTAATGAATGAATACAAATTTCAGCCAAACTCCAGACATTGGTTAATACATATGTTGGCTATTTGCATACGCTTACTGTAATTATCAATAAAAACTCTTAAGCCGGGCGTACACTGTGCGACTTTTTCACTTTTTTGAGCCGATTTTCCACTCGTGCGGGAATCCACGAGATCGGGGCGAGTTTTGTGCCGAGCGTTGTGTAGTGTACAGGGGGTTACGAGAGGCGATTAACACCACGTGACCAGCAATCGTGAGCTTGCACAAACTTCTGGCTTGTTTGAAATTTTGCTCATCTCTCATGAGGGTATCGCACTGTTGAAGCGGCGCAGCGAGCGGCTGCGACCCAAAAAGTATCAGAACCGCTCACGGCGCATGCGCAATCCTGCATCAACGCCGCTCGCCCGCTATTTCCCTAATAACACATGTTGTTCATTTTTGTTTCTACATGTTTTTTTTACTCACAAAGATTGTCAAGAAAGCGTGTTTGTCGTGTTCATGTCAAATCAAACTGATCATGAAACACAGATTTACTTTCTTTATTTCATTTTCCTCATCCAACCCCCATAAATCCCTGTGTGTCCTCCTGCAGCACTCCCGAAGGACAACAGGCAAAACAAGACAAAAAAAGTCTGACGTGTCGTGTAAAAACTGCTATTTTTAGCATATTTTTTAGGGCCGACGTGTTGCTACCAGACGTACAGTGTGAGCAGTCAGATCGCATCCGAGAACTGGGTCGTGCAGTGTGAGCACATCACTCGTGAGATCTGCCCTGCGAGGAAGTCGTACAGTTTGAGCTGAAGCTGAGTGCTACGAGTGAAAAAGTCGCACAGTGTCCGCCCAGCTTTAGAACTCGTGACATTTTACACCAGTAACCATAGAAACATCTGACAAAACAATCTGAGGGGTGGGGCTATGTGTGAAACGATTTGCATCTTAGTCCATTACAAGACTTAAAATGAACAATTGGAAAACAGCTGCAGTTCCAAAAGAACCATTTGTTTCCCTTCTGCAAAAAAGCAGTTTTACAGAAGAAGTCAGTCATCACATTTACAAACATATGAGGCCAATATTACTCAGATAAACACAATGGAGATGAACGGAGACGCTCAAAAACTCAAGCGGAAAGGACAGGTTCACTGAGGAACTGTTGTTTACCTGTTATTTTTTAAAAAAGACTGATCTCTGAGTGCTTCATGTAGACTGAACATGAAAATAATCTCCTACACCTATCTCCTGCATTAGCTTCTGATAGTCTCCTACACCTGTCTCCTGCATTAGCTTCTGATAGTCTCCTACACCTATCTCCTGCATTAGCTTCTGATAGTCTCCTACACCTATCTCCTGCATTAGCTTCTGATAGTCTCCTACACCTATCTCCTGCATTAGCTTCTGATAGTATCCTACACCTATCTCCTGCATTAGCTTCTGATAGTCTCCTACACCTATCTCCTGCATTAGCTTCTGATAGAAAATAGTCTCCTACACCTATCTCCTGCAGCAGCTTCTGATAGAAAATAGTCTCCTACACCTATCTCCTGCAGCAGTTTCTGATAGAAAATAGTCTCCTACACCTATTCCCTGCAGCAGCTTCTGATAGAAAATTGTCTCCTACACCTATCTCCTGCATTAGCTTCTGATAGAAAATAGTCTCCTACACCTATCTCCTGCATTAGCTTCTGATAGAAAATAGTCTCCTACACCTATCTCCTGCAGCAGCTTCTGATAGAAAATAGTCTCCTACACCTATCTCCTGCAGCAGTTTCTGATAGAAAATAGTCTCCTACACCTATTTCCTGCAGCAGCTTCTGATAGAAAATTGTCTCCTACACCTATCTCCTGCATCAGCTTCTGATAGAAAATAGTCTCCTACACCTATCTCCTGCAGCAGTTTCTGATAGAAAATAGTCTCCTACACCTATCTCCTGCAGCAGCTTCTGATAGAAAATAGTCTCCTACACCTATCTCCTGCATCAGCTTTTGATAGAAAATAGTCTCCTACTCCTATCTGCTGCATTAGCTTCTGATAGAAAATAGTCTCCTACACCTACCTCCTGCATAAGCTTCTGATAGTCTCCTACACCTACTTCCTGCAGTAGCTTCTGGTAGAAAACAGACGGCGAAACTCTAGGATTAGAAAATCCTGACAGATCTACGTCACACTGTCGCTAACATTCATGGACTAACCCATCTGGACTCACAACGGGGAAGCTGTTGTTGGTTTAGCATCCAGGAAACAGCAGAGAACATCTCTGCTAGTAGAAGCTAATTGTTAGCATTAGCATCTCCACCACACAGCAGAACTCCTCTGCGCTTGTGTTATTGGTGGAGATGAAACATCAGCGTTGCAGAGCAGACAGAGTCAGTGGTAGAGTCTTGTTGCTGTAAGCCAATCAGAAGAGAGATGTCCGCATATCAGGAAGTAAGATCCTGCCGTCTGAAGCTCTCCTCTGATCTGACAATGTTCTAGACCCTAACAGTTTTGTACCCAGAGGCCGACTTACAAGGCATCCATTCCTACTGGAGACCACTGCAGATGTGGTGATTAAATGAGTGAACCACTCCTTTAAACCCAGTGAAAAGAAGGACTTCTACATAGCATCAGCGTGGAGCACCAAGGCCATTGTGTGCAGCAATAACATCGTCATGTGTTTTAACAAATCTGTCTTTTTAAACCTTAATGGAGTGACCCAGCAGAAAGCACTCTGACTCAGGGATGGGTCAGAAGAGAAGAGGCATCTGTCTGGGGACGACTGTAGACACAGATGCTTTTTTCTCCCCTGACATCTCAGCTGTAGCGATTTCCCTGATGGTTTGCTTCAGTCCACCTTCCTGCTCTCTGAGGATCCGCCTCAGAGCGAATGATCCCAGCAGTCATGTCTATCTTCTCCTTCACATGGCATCCTGCCATTTCTGTTCAGCCTGGGGCTTGGAGGAGGAGGACGAGGATGTCGCATGCTCGAGGTTATGAGACATTTGACTCATGTCGAAAGTTCAGCTCAAGTTGTAAACGAAGCAATTTTTCTACCTGTGATGAAAGTTTTCCACAGTATGAGCAGCATGTTTACATGGAGATAAACTGAGCTATTCTTATCAACCTTTAGGACATAAAAACAGAAGCTACGCTGTTCGCCTGTAGAAGCGGCGGCATGAATTCAAAAGTCGACTCCGTTTAGAGAACAAAATGACTTTATTCTCAGATCGTCTCTTGGTTGGTTTTTCTCTGAGGAACTGAACCAAAAGCCATTCATCTTTCCTATCAGTGAAACGTTTCTATTAGTCATGCCTGCAGCAGTTTAACATCACCCCTATCAGCAGGAATGCTGAGGTCATGGGGTCGAACAGGACATCAGGATGCAAGAGAAAGAAGAAACATTCATCACTCCGATGGAGGAGCAGTGCTGGCTCCACTCACACTCTGGCAGGAATGCCGAACCTCTCTGCTAAAAGCTCTCAGATCTCCGTGAGATTTCCAACTGGACTCCGACTATGAGCTGCTGGGAGGTGGACCAAGACCAAGTACATGTCACGGCTTTCAGGCCCAGTCAGACACGATGCAGATGTGACTTTTCAGTCGTTTTACTCGTTTGTCCTCCTAAAGGTCGCTCCAGCCTTCTGATGACACGTTCCTGAACAGTGAGTGGACAGCAGCTATGAACTGAAGCGTGTAGATTTGAGGCCACACTGAAAGGAAGGGCTTGAACAGGTAGAGCTGGTTTTGAAAGGAAAGCACACCTTGCATAAACAACATAAGAAAACAAGTTGCTGCAGGCTGATCCGGTGCTTTTGCATTGCAGACGAAACCTCTGGCTGTTTAAATCCCTCTCAGGACGTGCAAACCTGATGCATGGCCCCTCTGGAGTCAGAGTGAGTCAGGTTTTCCTCACAAATCTGCTGCTGACTGTGAGCACACGCGGTGACTCTGCTTTTCCTGAGCCTGATGCCCACAAACAACTTCCACAAAGAGGCATTCACGGCAGCAGTTACATAAAAGCAGATGGAGTCATAAACTTCATGTTCTCTCTGCAGCCATTTCTGCCCTCAGTCCACCCAAACGGAGCTTTCCTAGCGCGGTCAGCGCTACAGGGCCTGGAGAAAAGAGACATCAACCAAATAAGATTCTAGCTTTTCTCTGGTGGCTGGGACAAAAGTCAGAAAGTCTTATTTGACCTCCTCCATAAACATCTTGTTCCAAACAATGTAAAAATAACAGGAACTAAACGTGTTGCTGCTACTTTGTGTAAAAAACCCAGAAAATCTGCTTAAACCAGCATTTAAAAATGAAAACATGAGTTACATTTTACATTAGAAATCTGAGCCAAACCTATTCAGCTGTAAGTCGCAGATCCTTGCTGCGCTGAGCAGCGTTGGAGGTCTTTGTGAGGGAGTTTGAAGCCACATCAATAATCATCGGAGTCAAACTGAAAATGCATTGTTTGCACTTAGAAAATATGTAATTTAGGGGTTTTAACCCATCATTTAACAGGAAAAGACTTCGTTTGTCAGAAGTGATCGTAACTTTACCGCCACCTGGTGCTGGTCGAAGAAAAACGCTGTGATGCTCTTTAAGACCCACAGATGAGCAAATGTTTCGGTGTGTTCATCACGTCTAATTAAACGATGTGATCACCAGGTCTCTCCAACATACCAGCTGTTCACGTGATGTACCCGTGTGGATGAGAGCGCTGGCATCTCCACAGCTGTGCCCGAGCTGAATGGGAGTCCTCAGGTCGCCATCAGGAGAGCCCTGCTGTCCAACAGGAACTCTGTGACATGTAGAGGGGAGAGGATCTGACTGAACAGGCCCACTAGAACAGATCTGCATCTTCTGTGTGCCTAAATCCTTGTAAGAGCAGAACAAATCCTTTACTGAAGCAGCAGCGTCCCAACGTCTCAAGATGATCAGTGGCAATTTTACTTTTAGTCACATGAAAAAGAAAAAAAGGCACAAATATTTTAGTATGAATGTTACTCCTAAAATAGGCTGGGGGGGGGGGGCACTAAAATGGCCGAATTTGATGATTAAAACCCGTGGTTCCACTTAAAACTGTTTAGAAAATATCTGCTTAGAGCAAAATGAGACATATTAATGAGTCTCTTCTGGTCATAGAACACACACACACACACGCACGCACACACACACAGTTTACATGTTCACTCTACATTCAGTCAAGACTGTGTGTGTGTGTGTGTTATCTAGGATGAAACCGCAGAAGGCTCATGAGTCATTTCCTGGATCTGTGTTTTAATCTTCTCCCTCGGACACTTCCTGCCAGATCCTGGACAAGCTGAGCACAACGACCCGTTCGGATCATCTCCAACCCAAACACTGAACCGGTTCAACACAGAAACAATCAGGATTATTCAGCTTTGCTTTTCTTGGGAGACCCAATCAGCTACAACATTATGACCACCGGCTTAACACTGAACAGGTGTTTGAATGTGTACAGAGGTCAGAAACACCTGTCCATCTTCTACTTCATCCCCACGGGGCCACAGGTTCTGGTGTCTGTCTCCAGAAGTCATCAGGTGACGGACACTGAAACAAAACACCAGTCACACACCTGGGACCACACCTGTACGCAGAGCACCTGGAACAACAACGTGTGTGACGGGGTGAGTGTCTGTGTCCCGATTATCATGCGCCCTGGCTATGTGGCCTTGGGGACGTCACTTTGGCTGACTGGTTAGCACGCATGACTCTCTTACCCGAGAGTCTGGGTATCAAATCCCGCCGGGCCCTCGCCACCCCACCACACATGCATGAGAACACGCCAAACGTGTCAACTACCAAAGTCACCGCCACGCTGCAGAAGTCAGACCCAACAAAGTGGAGTTGTTGTTCTGCACTTTCCAGGATGGAGGTCAGGAGGACAAAGCTGATCTTCAACGCCACCAAATGTTGTAAACCAACATTCTGTGGTGTTGAAATCCAAAAATAAAAACCATTCCCAGGAAGGACTTACGGTTCCCAGCAGAACAAGAACCAGAAGTCGTGCCTGGTGATTTTATATCCAAACCAGCCGTGGAATCGTCTGAGTCGACTCCACCAACAGACCAGTCTGGAGCTTCAGTCACGCAGACGCTACCACCCAGTTAGCATCACATATGGGCCATTCCCATCTGTACCGGGTCGGCCCGGGCCGGGTAGCGTAGGGCCTGGTATTTTTCCGGGCCAACCAAGGCTCGTTCTCAGCCCTCTTCTCGAGGGGGTCTGCTTCAGGCCGACCAGGGCCAACACACCCACTGCTGACAGCAAATTCACACCTTCCATTAGAGCAAGCCTCTGATTGGTGGGTAGAATCAGCCCACATGGGCTTAAGACAAGGATGTGTGGAATCAACCGGGCCAGGCTGGGGCCGACTGGGGCTACCTGGCCCGGGCCGATCCGGTACAGATGGGAATGGCCCAATAGCCTCCTAGTGTCTAACAAACCACGCCCACTCAAGTCGGCATCCTTTCACGTACACCTGCAGGTGGTTCTGATCAACACACATTTAACCAAGCAGACAGTAGGAGCCTCCTGTTGGATAATCACTGCTGCTACAACTCATGTAAGCCCAACCAGCTGCTGGTGGTGGAAAAGATGTTGGTCTGTGTGAGGGGTCGTGCAGGTGGCGCACCATCATGCCTGCCTCCTGGTCCAGGTCCAGAGCCTACTGGTTGTGCAGCACCAGGCTAAAGACCAAAGGTGACCGATCAGCTGCTGCTCTTATTCCACCTTGCCCGGGATCTGCTGATCTCCCTTTCCTTACATTCTTTAATCACTGTTTGTTTTCCTCATGTGAAACATTTCTAAATCAGTGCTAGATCTCGGTGAAGCATCAGCTGGAGGGAAATTAATCTGGTGACGCTGCAGAAGCTCAGCGAAGCAACGCCACAGCGAATGTGAGTCGTAGTCAGCTTAAGGACGCCCAACCACGTATCGGTGACCTTTTGACCTGGCGGTGTAGAAATAATCCTGGATATTCACTCATTCCTTGGTCTGTCAGCGTTCATCTGCAGATTCCATAAAACAGAAGGAAACACAAACGTCAAGTCGGCCTTCATGAAGGCTAAAGCGTGCCGTTTCCACATAGAAATGCATGTGAGCACGGCAGCCTCACACCTAGGAAAGGACGGCTTTGATGACGTTCCTCCAGAGCTGGAAGCACAGAAGACTCACGTGGAAGAATGACTTTCATCTCTTTAATTTTAGAGGGAACCACAAGTACTTTAAAAGGTCATACAGAGCTGTACATCCGGGAGCGGTACTGCGCTTCACGCGGCTCCCTTAAATACTATTCTTTAAATGTTCTATAATCTCATGACAGTGATCAAATAAAAGCTTGTAACTGGTCCTGCAGCTTTACAGATATGTCGATGCCAGACTTCTTTCCTTGTTGTCTTTTTTCTTTTTGTTTTCCAAAAAAGGAAAATTAAAGTTACGATCCAAAACCAACGACAGGCTGAAACTCCCGATTCACTCACACAACAGAGAGAGACAGAGAGGGAAGAGGAAGAGATACACGTTTAATGTTCAGAAGGCTGGTCCGTGATGGGAGTGGCCATCGGGTCTCCGTGAGGTCCACACGGGTCGCTCTGCTGCTCTCTGGAACCTCGGCTCCTACTCGACCCGCTCCGAGCCTCACTTCCACAGCTGTGTGCTCAGAGTCTGGCCAGATCCTGCAGAGGCCCAGCCGCCCACGGCTGGAGGGGGCTGTCCATAAGCCAACTGGCCTCCGGCGCCGTTCAGGGTCAGGCCCGACATCTGCTGGTTCACCTGGGCTCAGAGGAGAAACATCCCATCAGTAATCTCAACTCCTTAAGCCCAGAATAAGTCTGAACTAGAAACGGTTTCAGAATGTCAGCAGCTGCTGATGCCAGGAAACCTGCTGCAGACACGCTAAACCGGCCTGTTATGTTCCTGCTGCTGCTTTTCTGTGTTCTTGTCTAACACACCGAGGGGTTCTGAGGGGTTCTGAGTTCTTGTCTAACACACCGAGGGGTTCTGCGTTCTTGTCTAACACGCCGAGGGGTTCTGTGTTCTTGTCTAACACGCCGAGGGGTTCTGAGGGGTTCTGTGTTCTTGTCTAACACGCCAAGGGGTTCTGAGTTCATGTCTAACACACCGAGGGGTTCTGAGTTCTTGTCTAACACGCCGAGGGGTTCTGAGAGGTTCTGTGTTCTTGTCTAACACGCCGAGGGGTTCTGAGGGGTTCTGTGTTCTTGTCTAACACGCCAAGGGGTTCTGAGGGGTTCTGAGTTCTTGTCTAACACACCGAGGGGTTCTGAGGGGTTCTGAGTTCTTGTCTAACACGCCAAGGGGTTCTGAGGGGTTCTGTGTTCTTGTCTAACACACCGAGGGGTTCTGTGCTCTTGTCTAACACACCGAGGGGTTCTGAGGGGTTCTGAGTTCTTGTCTAACACGCCAAGGGGTTCTGAGGGGTTCTGTGTTCTTGTCTAACACACCGAGGGGTTCTGAGGGGTTCTGAGTTCTTGTCTAACACGCCAAGGGGTTCTGAGGGGTTCTGTGTTCTTGTCTAACACACCGAGGGGTTCTGTGCTCTTGTCTAACACACCGAGGGGTTCTGAGGGGTTCTGAGTTCTTGTCTAACACGCCAAGGGGTTCTGAGTTCTTGTCTAACACACCGAGGGGTTCTGAGGGGTTCTGTGCTCTTGTCTAACACACCGAGGGGTTCTGAGTTCTTGTCTAACACACCGAGTGGTTCTGAGGGGTTCTGTGCTCTTGTCTAACACACCGAGGGGTTCTGAGTTCTTGTCTAACACACCGAGGGGTTCTGAGGGGTTCTGTGCTCTTATCTAACACACCGAGGGGTTCTGAGTTCTTGTCTAACACGCCAAGGGGTTCTGAGGGGTTCTGTGTTCTTGTCTAACACACCGAGGGGTTCTGAGGGGTTCTGTGTTCTTGTCTAACACACTGAGGGGTTCTGAGTTCTTGTCTAACACGCCAAGGGGTTCTGAGGGGTTCTGTGTTCTTGTCTAACACACCGAGGGGTTCTGAGGGGTTCTGAGTTCTTGTCTAACACGCCAAGGGGTTCTGAGGGGTTCTGTGTTCTTGTCTAACACACCGAGGGGTTCTGAGTTCTTGTCTAACACACCGAGGGGTTCTGAGGGGTTCTGTGCTCTTGTCTAACACACCGAGGGGTTCTGAGTTCTTGTCTAACACACCGAGGGGTTCTGAGGGGTTCTGTGCTCTTGTCTAACACACCGAGGGGTTCTGAGTTCTTGTCTAACACGCCACGGGGTTCTGAGGGGTTCTGTGTTCTTGTCTAACACACCGAGGGGTTCTGTGTTCTTGTCTAACACACCGAGGGGTTCTGTGCTCTTGTCTAACACACAGAGGGGTTCTGAGAGGTTCTGTGTTCTTGTCTAACACGCCAAGGGGTTCTGAGGGGTTCTGAGTTCATGTCTAACACACCGAGGGGTTCTGAGTTCTTGTCTAACACACCGAGGGGTTCTGAGGGGTTCTGAGTTCTTGTCTAACACGCCAAGGGGTTCTGAGAGGTTCTGTGTTCTTGTCTAACACACCGAGGGGTTCTGAGTTCTTGTCTAACACACCGAGGGGTTCTGAGGGGATCTGAGTTCTTGTCTAACACACCGAGGGGTTCTGTGCTCTTGTCTAACACACCGAGGGGTTCTGAGGGGTTCTGAGTTCTTGTCTAACACGCCAAGGGGTTCTGAGGGGTTCTGTGTTCTTGTCTAACACACCGAGGGGTTCTGAGTTCTTGTCTAACACACCGAGGGGTTCTGAGGGGTTCTGTGCTCTTGTCTAACACACCGAGGGGTTCTGAGTTCTTGTCTAACACGCCACGGGGTTCTGAGGGGTTCTGTGTTCTTGTCTAACACACCGAGGGGTTCTGTGTTCTTGTCTAACACACCGAGGGGTTCTGTGCTCTTGTCTAACACACAGAGGGGTTCTGAGGGGTTCTGTGTTCTTGTCTAACACGCCAAGGGGTTCTGAGGGGTTCTGAGTTCATGTCTAACACACCGAGGGGTTCTGAGTTCTTGTCTAACACACCGAGGGGTTCTGAGGGGTTCTGAGTTCTTGTCTAACACGCCAAGGGGTTCTGAGAGGTTCTGTGTTCTTGTCTAACACACCGAGGGGTTCTGAGTTCTTGTCTAACACACCGAGGGGTTCTGAGGGGATCTGAGTTCTTGTCTAACACACCGAGGGGTTCTGTGCTCTTGTCTAACACACCGAGGGGTTCTGAGGGGTTCTGAGTTCTTGTCTAACACGCCAAGGGGTTCTGAGGGGTTCTGTGTTCTTGTCTAACACACCGAGGGGTTCTGAGTTCTTGTCTAACACACCGAGGGGTTCTGAGGGGTTCTGTGCTCTTGTCTAACACACCGAGGGGTTCTGAGTTCTTGTCTAACACACCGAGGGGTTCTGAGGGGTTCTGTGCTCTTGTCTAACACACCGAGGGGTTCTGAGTTCTTGTCTAACACACCGAGGGGTTCTGAGGGGTTCTGTGTTCTTGTCTAACACACCGAGGGGTTCTGAGGGGTTCTGTGCTCTTGTCTAACACACCGAGGGGTTCTGAGGGGTTCTGAGTTCTTGTCTAACACGCCACGGGGTTCTGTGTTCTTGTCTAACACACCGAGGGGTTCTGTGTTCTTGTCTAACACACCGAGGGGTTCTGTGCTCTTGTCTAACACACAGAGGGGTTCTGAGGGGTTCTGTGTTCTTGTCTAACACGCCAAGGGGTTCTGAGGGGTTCTGAGTTCATGTCTAACACACCGAAGGGTTCTGAGTTCTTGTCTAACACACCGAGGGGTTCTGAGGGGTTCTGAGTTCTTGTCTAACACGCCAAGGGGTTCTGAGAGGTTCTGTGTTCTTGTCTAACACACCGAGGGGTTCTGAGTTCTTGTCTAACACACCGAGGGGTTCTGAGGGGTTCTGAGTTCTTGTCTAACACACCGAGGGGTTCTGTGCTCTTGTCTAACACACCGAGGGGTTCTGAGGGGTTCTGAGTTCTTGTCTAACACGCCAAGGGGTTCTGAGGGGTTCTGTGTTCTTGTCTAACACACCAAGGGGTTCTGAGGGGTTCTGAGTTCTTGTCTAACACGCCAAGGGGTTCTGAGGGGTTCTGTGTTCTTGTCTAACACACCGAGGGGTTCTGAGTTCTTGTCTAACACACCGAGGGGTTCTGAGGGGTTCTGAGTTCTTGTCTAACACGCCAAGGGGTTCTGAGGGGTTCTGTGTTCTTGTCTAACACACCGAGGGGTTCTGTGCTCTTGTCTAACACACCGAGGGGTTCTGAGGGGTTCTGAGTTCTTGTCTAACACACCGAGGGGTTCTGAGTTCTTGTCTAACACACCGAGGGGTTCTGAGGGGTTCTGTGCTCTTGTCTAACACACCGAGGGGTTCTGAGTTCTTGTCTAACACACCGAGGGGTTCTGTGCTCTTGTCTAACACACCGAGGGGTTCTGAGGGGTTCTGAGTTCTTGTCTAACACACCAAGGGGTTCTGTGTTCTTGTCTAACACACCGAGGGGTTCTGAGTTCTTGTCTAACACGCCAAGGGGTTCTGAGGGGTTCTGTGTTCTTGTCTAACACACCGAGGGGTTCTGTGCTCTTGTCTAACACACCAAGGGGTTCTGAGGGGTTCTGAGTTCTTGTCTAACACGCCAAGGGGTTCTGAGGGGTTCTGTGCTCTTGTCTAACACACCGAGGGGTTCTGAGGGGTTCTGAGTTCTTGTCTAACACGCCAAGGGGTTCTGAGGGGTTCTGTGTTCTTGTCTAACACACCGAGGGGTTCTGAGTTCTTGTCTAACACACCGAGGGGTTCTGAGGGGTTCTGTGCTCTTGTCTAACACACCGAGGGGTTCTGAGTTCTTGTCTAACACACCGAGGGGTTCTGAGGGGTTCTGTGCTCTTGTCTAACACACCGAGGGGTTCTGAGTTCTTGTCTAACACACCGAGGGGTTCTGAGTTCTTGTCTAACACACCGAGGGGTTCTGAGGGGTTCTGTGCTCTTGTCTAACACACCGAGGGGTTTTGAGGGGTTCTGAGTTCTTGTCTAACACGCCAAGGGGTTCTGAGGGGTTCTGTGTTCTTGTCTAACACACCGAGGGGTTCTGTGTTCTTGTCTAACACACCGAGGGGTTCTGTGCTCTTGTCTAACACACAGAGGGGTTCTGAGGGGTTCTGTGTTCTTGTCTAACACACCGAGGGGTTCTGAGTTCTTGTCTAACACACCGAGGGGTTCTGAGGGGTTCTGTGCTCTTGTCTAACACACCGAGGGGTTCTGAGTTCTTGTCTAACACACCGAGGGGTTCTGAGGGGTTCTGTGCTCTTGTCTAACACACCGAGGGGTTCTGAGTTCTTGTCTAACACACCGAGGGGTTCTGAGGGGTTCTGTGCTCTTGTCTAACACACCGAGGGGTTCTGAGGGGTTCTGAGTTCTTGTCTAACACGCCAAGGGGTTCTGAGGGGTTCTGTGTTCTTGTCTAACACACCGAGGGGTTCTGTGTTCTTGTCTAACACACAGAGGGGTTCTGAGGGGTTCTGTGTGCTAGACAAGAACAGAAAACCACCCAACTGCGAACAACCCTGGTGTTTGTGCAGCTTCTCACTCATTTCATCTTTCGGCATCATCATTTAGACACAATAGACTCAACTGTGACTCATTTGATTTTATCCAGTTATTATTTTCAATCTCTGATCCGTCACCAACCCCTTCCAGAGCTTTCTCCCAGGGCCCAAACGGATCCCGGAGGAGCTCCAGATGCTCGGGGACTGTTCAGACTTCCTGAGACACAAAAGTGAGACTAGAGAGGATCTGGAGAACGTTTCGAGACACTTTGGAAGTCCCTCTCCTAAATGCAGATTGAAACTTGCCAGCAGCAGCAGCAGCTCACGGAGGGTTAGTACTACATGATTGTTATGATGCATGAACACAACCGTCTCATGAAAGAGGGCGTGAGGAGGATTGGCTGAGGCCATGCTTGTGCTGCCATCTAGTGGTAGCTTGTGTAACCCTAACACACTGCTCAGACCCCGTCTGGGTGTCACCTCACCAGCATCGTGTTGCACCGACACACGAAGCTGCACTGCAAGTGAGAGTCTGGAGAATAAAGTCACACCGTGTTAGGGAATCAGTGCAGCCCGGTTCTCATACCTGACCCATGTTCCACTGGGCCTGCTGGCCTGGTTGAATGGTGTACATGCCCTGAGCAGGCACCATGCCTGCAGGCATCGCAGCACTCTGTGGTCCCATCATCCTGGGGGCCATGCCCATCATGCCAGTAGCAGGCGGATTCCCCATGAAGCCGTTCGGCATCGTTACTCCAACCATCATGCCTGGTGTGGGTCCCATCATGGCGGCTCCGCTCTGAGCCATCATGGCCCCCATGACGGTGGTGGGTGGAACAGCGGTGCCCATACCAGGAAAGGCCTGGTAGCCGGCAGGGGCCTGGACAGGAAACGGCATCTGAGAGGGGCCCATGAACATGCCAGCTGAGGGGAGAAGGAGATGGTAAAGTTCAGTTCAGTTAATTCTGTTATCCACTCTGCTGGGCTGCAGGCAGCTCTGACTGAGACAGGAAGACACGAACAATCTAGCTAACAAAGCTAGCTCGGTTCTGAGCTGCCCGCTGGACTCGGCTGAGGAGACGTGTGAAAGGAGGATGCTGGGGAAGATGACCTCCATCTTAAAGCCCCTCCCACCCACTGCGTCCCACTGTGGAGACCATGAACAGCTCCTTCAGAGGCAGACTGAGACATCCCAGAAGTAAACCAGAACGCTGCCGTAGGTCATTCATCCCCTCTGCAGTAAGTGTAGACCTCCTCAGTTTAACTGGTACCGGCATTATCCTGGTACACAATACCACCAACACGGTACTCAGTATGTGTTCAGTACCAGATGTACATAGTATGTCTGTGTCCCTTACATCATGCTGCACAGTTCTAGAACCCAAGTTCTTCATTTTTATTCGTGGTTTTTAGCGGTCGAAGGTTCCAATACTAGCTTACTGCCTACGTGTATAAATACACGTATCTTTGTTATTGTTCTCTAATTATTCTCTTAAGTGTTGCTGCTGCCGTAACAAGTGAATCTCCCCACCGTGGGATCAATAACGTCTATTCTATTCTGTTTTATTTTATTCAAATCTAATCTATTCAAATCTAATCTATTCAAATATATTCTATTCTAATCTAATCTATTTTATTCAAATCTATTCTATTCTAATCAAATCTATTCAAATCTATTCTATTCTAATCTATTCAAATCTATTCTATTCTAATCTAGTTTATTCAAATCTATTCTAATCTAATCTATTCAAATCTATTCTATTGTATTCAAATTTTTTCTATTCTAATCTATTCAAATCTATTCTATTCTAATCTAATCTATTTTATTTTATTCAAATCTATTCTATTCTATTTATATTTTATGTATTCAATATTTTTCAATTTCCTTTTATTCTATTCAAATCTATTCTTTTCTATTCTAATCTATTCTATTTATATTTTTTTCTATTTTATGTATTCAATATTTTTCAATTTTATTTTATTCTATTCAAATCTATTCTATTCTAATCTATTCTATTTATATTTTTTTCTATTTTATGTATTCAATATTTTTCAATTTTATTTTATTCTATTCAAATCTATTCTATTCTATTCTATTCAAATCTAATCTATTCTAAAACTTGGAATAACTCCAAGGCTTCTGGAGTAAAACAAAACTCTGTTTGTTTCTAACCAATAAGACATCAGAAGCGAACCAGGAAGCTGAAGCAAGCCCAACATTTACAGCGGGACATAACATCCTCTCTAAGACCATGGAGCTCACCAGCGGGGACCTGCTGGGACATGCTGTTGGTTCCGTACAGGGACAGGATGGAGTCCTTGGACAGAGGCTTCTTGGCTGCATCCTCCGGTTTAGCGGCGCTACTGCTGTCACTGAACAGGTCCAGGTCACCCTGTACCGACCCTGAGCTGGCTCCGGCTCCTCCCACCGCTGCAGCGGGAGGTGGTGTTGGAGTACTGGCCGAGTTACTGGAGCTCACCTGGAATGAAGAGAAGGTTCAAAGTCGTCCCCAAAACTAATCGTTCTTCTTCTGAACCCCTTTTCCTCGGTGGTGTCACAGAGGAGGGTCTAACCAGGCCAGAGGTGGGGGGCCGGTTCAGGACAGGGACACAACCATTCACTTTGGAGAGGGAGGAGACCCATGCAATATGGCGGCAAATCGGTTACACTCCCCAGCGCTGAATGGGGCGTCCATGTATTCATGTCTATGGCTGTAGCCGCTGGGAGCAGAGGCACGCGTTTTCTTCTCCACCCTCGCCTGACCCCGCTTTCCATATCTGCTAAATAAGAGCGCCATAGGGTTGCACGCCCACAGTGACCCGTTTCCTGTCTATGTGGTCCATGTGTGATTCTGGAATGGTTGAACTGAAACTACACCTCGTTGTACCGGGATGCTGGTTCTTTGACAACAAACTTCTACTCATGCCGAGAGACAACAGCGCCTCCATGCAGCTCTGCCCCAAAGCTAAAAACCTCTAACTCATCTGTAGATGATGCGTTAATACTAGAAAACAGGAACGATTATTAATCAATCAATCGATTTTATTTGTAGAGCACCTTCCACAACGTTATCAGAAGCCCAAGGTGATGAACAGCATCATCATAAAAACATTCCCAGTACCTGGGCATAAAAGCAAGATAAAAACATAAAATCATAAAATAACAAGCAAGCAATATTACAAATACAGAGAGATAATGGAATGAGACTAATCAATTAAAAACAAATGGTGGACAAAATAAGATCAATCATCCTGATCAAAAAGAAGAAGTATTAAAAACCATAATGTCAGGGCAATTCAAAGAACCCTAGCGCTGAAAATCAATCAAATAAAAATGAGTCTTTAGACGAGACTTAAAGACTTGAAGGGACGGTGCCTGCCTAATTCTCAACGGCAATTCACTCCACAGAGTTGGAGCCAAAAGGGATGATATGTAACTCTTCTGTTTAAGTGAATTAAATGCTTAAAAATCTGATTAATTAATGAGCATCAGAGCCAGAGCTAGCGCTGGGAGCTGGCTCCAGGAGAGGCCTCCGCCTGGGCCTCGTTAACGACTCTGAACTTCAGCTGAGTCGTCGGTGTGTTCGTGTTTGGATGTTAATCGTGGTGTTGTCTGGACACAGAGGGCGAGCTGTGGTTACTGATGGCACTAACAGGTCATCTGCTTCTTTTTATCAGTGAGAAAAATTAGATTTCTATACTTTCTTGAGCTGGTTGAATGGGGGGGGGGGGGCTCATCATATGAGCAAGTGCCCGGCTCCTCCCGTCTCCCGGGGCAACTGGGACATGTGGACTGGCTCCGATGTGAGGCTGTAGGCATGCTGGTTACTTGTGGATCTCTGACAAGAGACCACAGAAACCCTGCAGCTCTTTAGGTGATGCTTCACTTTTGAGTCGCTCAACCCTATTTTCCTCACTAACAGTTTGCTGCTTGAATAAGGGGGAGTTATGTGTGTTCACCATAACACTGCTTGGTCTAGGATGGGTGCACAGTCCCGGCTCAGAGCCAGGACAACGGCGGACTCGCGGATCTCATGCACCTAATGTCCCGCGTATCTTCAGTACATTATAATCATTCACCCAAACGGATAAAGAGCTAATTAGAGTGCACGTAAAACATGGGTCTGTAGCTGCAAGTCTTCCAGACGTATGTCACGTCCACCTTAATTCTGTTCACCTGGCGGGCGCGCCTCCAGAGCACACGCGGCCGGCATGCAGAGCGAACGCAGGATCTATCTGCGGTCAAGCGCCATCAACGCCAAGTGCAGTTGGAAAGCAGGAAGAGGAGATGAGCAGGGCAGCCACCTCTGCGGTCGGCGCAGCAACAGCTGTGACGGGAACTGTCCGACGGGACTCTGACATCATAGAGTGGATGATGTCATGTTATTTTGTAATCACAATATTTACTCTTCCCATTTTTATGTTTGTAATCGTTCTAAAATTCATGTATAATTTTTAGTTGAACTCCAGTCCTTGTGAAGTACCTGGTGGCTTTGCTTGAGAGGCGCTGGATAAAATATCGTTTCTTATGTCATTTAGGATCGGTCGGAGTGTAAACGCCCTCTGGAGGAAACCCGTCCTCCGTCTGGAGCCATGCTGTGGTTTGGGACCCGTTGTAGAGCACAAATCTGATTCCAGTTCAAACTTTATTTTACAACTAAGAGAACCCCCAGAGCCTCCTCTGCTCCTGACCTTAAACGCGTTGCCATGGTAACCAGACTGAATGACAACCCGTTACTCTACAATTTAACTTAAAGAGCAAGTCACCCTCAAAGCAACTTTGTTTTGGGGAGACGGTGGCACAGGAGTTAAGAGCTCGCCCTGTAATCGGAAGGTTGCAGGTTTGAGCCCCGCTCAGTCTGTCGCTATCGTTGTGTCCTTGGGCAAGACACTTAACCCACCTTGCCTGCTGGTGGTGGTCGGAGGGACCGGTGGCGCCTCTGTCAGTGCGCCCCAGGGTAGCTGTGGCTACAATGTAGCTCATCACCATCAGTGTGTGAATGTGTGTGTGAATGGGTGAATGACTGATTGTGTTGTAAAGCGCCTTGGGGGGTTCCAGGACTCTAGAAGGCGCTATATCAAATACAGGCCATTTACCATTTGTTTCCTGATAAACTATATAAATGTGTGTCTGATCGTGCTGCAGACACGTGTATTCAGTAGTTGTGTACTTTAGTGCATTTTAGTTAAAATCTTAATTTTCTGCCTAAAACTGTCAGTGTTGTGCCGTTGTCAGGTAAAAACTCTGCATTTGAATTTAAATCTGCCATCGCTATTGGCTAAGAGGTACCCTAGAACATTAGCTGGTACCATATGATGTCACAATGTCGTTGCGAGCCTGTGTGAGTGTGTATTTGTTAGCGGCTCCGCCCTCCCGGTCTGCTAGGCAACAGCATTTGTTGCATTTTTCAAACAGGAAGTGGGAGCGGAGTAATACTCTGGTAGGGAGTGACTTGCTCTTTAAAGTCTGTATTTATTTCTAACAGAGACCTCGTTTGTAACCTCTGCATTTAGGAACAGCTCTACAACGCCCAGGTTCTTACCTGAGGAAACTGAGCGGTGGATGAAGATGATGGAAGGGGGTTGGACACCATGGGGCCGAATATATCCAGGTCATTGTTCTGGCTTGTGCTCGTGCTACCGGTGTTGGCGGACGCTGCGGCAGGTGCATCTGTGACAGGATAAAGGGAGGAACTGGTCTGACCGGTTGAGCTGAGGCAAAAGGCTTTCGGTGAGAAATCAGTTCAACAGCATTATGATCAGATAAACCTTTATTAGTCCCACAAGTTATTAATAATAAATAAATGTGAGTTTAATGCTAATGAACACATTTAAATTATGTATTATTTCCCACAAGTCCATCCAATAAAAAACAACCAAAAATACCATATTTCTGAGATGGAGATCCGTTGAAGAGCCACAAAACAAAAGAATGTAAATACAGTCTGGTCACTGATTTTAACACACACACACACACACTTCCTCTAATGGCGACTGACGTAGCGTAGCAGGAAGGAAGTGCCGCGCTGACGCAGCGTGAGACGAGTGTTGGCCCGGTCACACACCCTGTCCTCTGATCGCCACACGTGGGACCAACAGCTTAGAAACGGTCTCCGACAGCAGAAGCAGCCATCATAACTTCATCAGCTGAATGAATATGAGGAATTACGTGACATTCCCACCTCGTCGTGACAGGTTTGCACTCTTCACTGACCAGAAACGAGCTGCCTGACATCCTATCTGTCTCCATGTCATAAATAAGACCTCAGCTTCCACGTCTCACTCACCAAGGCCTAGTAGGTTCACAGACGGTTGTGAGGCTTTAGCGGGGCTGACTTTGGGAGCGGGCCTGGGCTCTTCACTCTGAAAACAAAATCCTTTTACCATTGAAACAAAATGCAAAGCAGACTCGGGACACATCGTAAAGGATGAAGAGGTACTTATTTATTCATGCAGGTGTGCAAGTGAGCCTTACTTTGGTGTAAGATGACACCTTGCTCCCTGTGTCTAGCTCGGCGTCTTTCTTACTGTTTTTGGGCTGAAAAGAAAACAACACAACAGAAAAGTGAGCATTTATATCTCTACTTTGTAATAAATAGTGGGTTTTGGGGTGGGGCTACGTACGCTGCTCCCATTAATCACGTTCTTGTTGTAGTATTTCTTCTTCTCATATTTATCCCTGATGAAGTATTCGACTGCTCTGGGGATGGGGTTAAGAAATAAACGAGGGATGAATAATAAAAAACACTTGGTCTGGTTAACATGTCGGCTGACAGGAAAGGATACTGGTCTGTTTGAGGTCGTCTGAAGTTATCTGGAAGGTTGGCCTCATACAGCCGCCTGGCCTTGGTGTTCCCCATGTCCTGTATACTCTGAGAAAACAACAATAAACAACAATAAAGCTGCTAAATAGTAATAAAAACATCTGAGGTATTTAATACATAGTCATTCATTCATCACAACTATGACAGCTGAATAATAAACAAGCGGACCAAGAGTAACACTACCAATAAGGCCAAGGATTCAGATCCAGAGCTAGAATGGACCACATGTGTGTGTGTGTGTATGTGTGTATAAATCTTGTATATTGTGTATTAAGTCTGATATGTTTTATCTTAAATTAGTTGTGAATAGATGAGACCCGTTCACATCTGCAAAAAATTAAATAAATAAAAGATCCAACTAGTCCGTTTTGGAGCTTGAGGTATTGTGTTGATTTATGTTAACCCGTGTGTGTTCATGAACTCACCATCGCTAGGGTTAAGCTAGCATTACAGATCTTCCATGAGGACGTTTTTAAGTCAGATGTAAATTTTTAGTTACTGGAAATCAATATTTACATAATGTGTTCTATTAATATCAACTCACTGAAATGAATCAAAAAGCGGTGCAAGAATCAGAAGTCGGTATCAGCCCTCCAAAAAATTTGGTGCTTTTCTTTTGGGGGGTGAGAGATCACATAACTAAACAATAACATTTTAAACATTTATGTTTCTAACTTTTCCAAAGTCACCTGTTCTTCAGGGTTAGCCCCTAACCCTGACCCTATAATTGTACTGAACAATAATAAAATAACTGATGTAATTTGAACGGTGGTCAGTGGAACGAAGCCTAAATGATTTAGTATTTTTTTACAGGTGGTACCAGCACTTAACGGGATGCATCAACAAGGTTGTGTGCAAACACATCACGTTAGTTTCAACAGTCCTTGGCTTATTTGGGTCTGATCTAGAAAACAATACCTGGATTTGTTCTGTGGTCCACTGGTCCAGGTTGACGGATTTCACTCTGGATATGTGTACTCCCAGGTTCCTGTGGATGCCCGCACACCGGATGCACATAAAAACTCCCAGATTCCAGGATGCCCATCTAGGACCTGATGGGAAATTCAAACTGTGAGACTGAGGAATAACAACAACGAACAACAAGCTTGGTCTTGCTGGGTCTTTAAGTGCCAAAGGGAAGCTTTGCATTCTTTACAAATGCCTCAACACGAAACCCAGAGTTGCGTTTCTTTGACAGAACAATCGCTGTTTGTTACACCCGCGAACGGAAGAGCAGAAGTGGAGCTTAGGTGGATTTACAGAAGTTAGCTAGATGTTAGCAACTTAGTTTAGCTTCGCGGGGAGAACTGTCAGCTGACCGGCCGGAGCCGTTTACATCTTAGCTAGTTAGCTTAGCTGTAGAACGTAGACTCGGTGTAAGGCAGCATTCGTATCCCGGCTGGTTTAGCTAACGGCATGAACACGAACGTTGACCCGGTCTCCGGGGCGAACGCCGCACCTTTCGCCTCGCAGTCGGCGCAGTACTTGTTGTCTTCCTCCCTCAGCATTTTGGCCAGGATGGCCTGGTGCTGCTCGTTGAGTTTCTGGGCCTTTTCCCTCTCCGAGCGGGTCGTCATGTTTACGGCTTCAGCGGAACCTTCTAGATTAAAAGAACACCACCTTAATCAGTCGCGAGTCGAAAGAATTTTCTGATAAAATATCATAATCAGAGGTCGGAAAAGCGTCCGACTGAGGTACGAAAACACCCGGAACCGGAATCTGTACTCCGCCCACAAGAGCTCGAGAGATGACGCGGAGTACGCAGCGGATTGGACAAACGTCATGACGTCAGCATACTCACTGGAGTTCTGAAAAATTACAACTTACATGTGGTCTGAAAACTCTCTAGTCTGTGTCCATAAATAAAGCAGATAATTACAATATTGTAAAACAGTGAAACTGTTCTCCGTCACCTTTGATCGCACAAACCGCTGAAGTCTTTTGAAAAATGCTTCTTTAGATTGAACTGAATAAAAAAAATGATCAAAACCAAAATGCGAATTAGATTAACTGAACATTCAGAATCAGAAGGTTTAATTGTTATACGTGCAAGAATAACTACATTAGGAAATTGTTGCAGTACTTGATGCAGAAAAGAAAGATAAGAGATAAGCAAATATAGGAAGTAAGAATAAAATCACGATTAAACAATAATATAAAGTGGTAATACTTAGAGAAACAGCTACTCTGCAGGTACTAATCAGAGCAGATCAGTTCAGGTACCATCACACTGATTCATGTAACTAGAACCAAGCCACTGCAGTGGGCAGCCCTACGATTGTCATTCATGAGTCCAGCAGCAGCAAGGAGGAAACTGTTCCTATAGCAAGAGGTACTGGTCTGAATGGATCTGAGCCTACTGCCTGACAGGAGTCCAGGGTGACACGGGTCAGCTGTTATCAGACCTGCATGCCTCAATGTCATGGAGGTGTGCAGGTCCTGTATGGAGCGCAGTTTGCAGGTAATGACCTGCAACTCACTGCAGCCTCTTCTGGTCCCTGATGGTGGCTCCAGCGTACCACACGATGATGGAAGAGGTGAGGATGGACTCGACGACTGCGGTGTAGAACTGCCTCGACTGTGCTGGCAGGTTGTATTCCTAGTTGTCCACAGTACATACAACAGATGATCTAAACAAATCTAGCAACACACCTGAAATTCACAAGTTTATTCAACAAAAGAATCAAATATGAACATGTACATATAAAACAGTGGGGTGTTAGGGATCATTTTAGCCAATTAGTCACATTAAAAGTATGAAACTTAAAAATTAAGATTCATTTAAAAATAGTTAAGACCTATTATACAAAGCATGCGTTTTCTTAACTCAATAAACACCAAACAATAACAAATCTAGTTAAATCCAGAACTAAATAAGGCCGGTGTCGACTTCCGCTGGAAAACGATAAAAAAGCAGGTTAAACACAACGACCATGAGAGAAAAACATAAAAAAGGAAAGAACTGGACCCTTTCTAAAACCATGCATATAAACATCTCATTATTTCTGCACCTAAAAGAGTGACTTTAAAACATGCTTTACAACTATGGTACAAGAATACTAACATTGAAATAAAACAAGATAAAAACTTTAGAAAAACTTTTCAAGGCGGATCTTTAACTTGTTCTCCTGGTGTCTCACAGCAATCCCATGTCGGAGCAGCAGCTCTACGTACGGTGGCCAGAAGGTGTGGTCTATCAGGACGTAGGGGTCGTGTGCTTCCGTCAGGATCTTGTTCATAAGAATCTGTAGAACGGTCGGAGTTTTACAGATTTTATTTTACTGAGACAAAGCAATAACATTAAAATACACAATTCAGCTTTGATCCACTGCCACCACATTTATTTTTAACTAATGAGCAACTAATAATGATAATAATAATGTAAATAAACCACATTTTCAAACCAAAAGCATTTTTCCCAGGCTGTCGTAAAAGATGAATAAATCTGTTGAGCTGACTCACGATACTTCCCCGGTTCAGTTAAAGGGTCAATTATCCAACCAGAAACATCTAAGAAACATTGGGTCACGTCAAAATAAAATGTAATATGATGAAATGGCAAGCAGATTTCCAGAGTTTGAGCGGTTTCCAAGAGGCTAAAGTGATGCTTAAGCCGTGATGAAGTGTGTTTCTATGTGAAAGCTGAGTGGCCTCTGTTTGGAGAAATGATGTTTATGTCCCACAGGACAGCAAGGACCAAAAGTGTGCTGCTGCCAGGTTTGCCTCCTTTAAAGGAATCTCCTACCATCTTTATGCAGATGACATCCAACTGTACATCTCCTTTAAGCCCCATGAGATGTCTAAGCTGCAGCTGTTACACACCTGCTTAGACTCTATCAAAACCTGGATGGTGGGAGCTTTCTACAGCTGAATGAAGATGAGACTGAGATCCTCATCTGTGCCCCAGACAAGCTGGTTCCCAAAGTCAGAGACTCTCTTGGTCAGCTTGCCTCTCACACCAAACCTTCCGTCAGGAATCTTGGCGTGACCTTTGACCCAGCTCTCACCCTGGATTCTTATGTCAATTCTCTTGTTGGCTCTTCCTTCTTCCATCTCAGGAACGTTGCTAAGCTGAGTCCCATTCTGTCCCGCTCTGAACTTGAGACAGTTCTCCACACCTTCATCTCCTCACACTTAGACTACTGTAACTCTCTTTTCACGTGTCTGAGCAGAACCTCCCTGAACCGTCTACAGGTGGTTCAGAATGCTGCTGCTAGAGTCTTAACAAGAACTAAGAGAACAGAGCACATCACTTCTGTTCTTATGGGCCATTCCCATCTGTACCGGGTCGGCCCGGGCCGGGTAGCGTAGGTTGTTTACATATCTGGGTGGCCTGGTATTTTTCCGGGCCAACCAAGGCTCATTCTCAGCCCTCTTCTCGAGGGGGTCTGCTTCAGGCCGACCAGGGCCAACACACCCACTGCTGACAGCAAATTCACACCTTCCACTAGAGCAAGCCTCTGATTGGTGGGTAGAATCAGCCCACATGGGCTTAAGACAAGGATGTGTGGAATCAACCGGGCCAGGCTGGGGCCGACTGGGGCTACCCGGCCCGGGCCGACCCGGTACAGATGGGAATGGCCCATTAGATCCCTACACTGGTTACCAGTAAACTACAGAACAGACTTCAAAGTGCTACTACTAGTTTATAAGTCACTCAGTGGCATGGAGCCAAAATACATGTCAGATCTCATTCCTGCATAAACACCCAATAGGGCTCTGAGATCCCTGGGAAACAATCAGCTGGTAGAACCTCGGGTCAGAACCAAACTAAATCTGAACTAAAAGCCCTCATGTACTCATCAGCCTTGACACGAATTGTTTCTTCTCAAGCATCATCTCCACTGTAATCTTTGCTGTAACGGTCTTCTCCAATCCAATCCAATCCAATTTTATTTATAAAGCGCATTCACAAGGCATTACAACCCAACAAGGCGCTGTACACTAAAAATGTTGGTTAATTAAACAGGCGTTATATAAACATGTCAAACACAGATAAAAGATAAAAAGGAAATACAATAAGATTCCCAAAAATAACAGCTAAAAATCATTAAGACACAGGGTGAAGTAAAAATAGGAAAAAACATTTTACAAAGAACCTCAATAATACGGAAGTAGATAATTGTGGGGTCAGTTTATAAACAGTGCAGATGTGAGTGAGGTTCATAATTATGTTGTATAAGCTAGGTTGAAGTAGTGAGTTTTCAGGCGTGATTTAAAAATGCTAGCTGTTGGTGCTTGCCTCACTAGCAGTGGTAATGCGTTCCACAGCTTCGGTGCACAGACAGAGAAAGCCCTTTCTCCACGGCTTTTTAAACGAGCATTGGGAACAGCTAGGAGGAGCTTATCTTCAGACCTGAGAGCACGCGGCGGGTTGTAGTAATGGACAAGTTCACACAGATATGGAGGAGCTTGATGGTTCAAAGATTTGTAAGTCAGAAGCATGATTTTGAATTTTATCCTGAACTGCACAGGCAACCAGTGGAGAGATTTCAGAATTGGAGAAATGTGTTGTCTTCTGTCAGCTCCAGTCAGCAACCTAGCTGCAGAATTCTGGACCAGCTGAAGTCTAGAGAGAGCTGCTTTACTGATGCCGTATAAGCAGGAGTTGGAGTAATCCAGCCTTGAGGTGATAAAAGTGTGGACCACCGATTTCAGAAGACGTACACTCAGGATGTGCTTTAGTTTTGAGATGCGTCTTAGTTGGTAAAAACATGATTTAACTGTGTTATTGACCTGGGCATCCATCTTCAGAGCCTGGTCCATTTTTACTCCAAGGTTGGAGATTACAGAGGATACATTAGGTGAGAGATAGTTGAGGTCAGGTTGTTGAGTTGCCGTGATACTGTTAGGACTGAAAACGATTAAGTCAGTTTTGGAGTCATTAAGATGGAGGAAGTTATCAGCTAGCCATTGCTTGACCTCAAGGATGCAATCAGACAGAACTTGCGTTGACTGAGTTGGCTTAAATGAAAAGTAGATTTGACAGTCGTCAGCGTAAAGATGGTATGAGACAGCGTGCTTTCTGAAAATGGCTCCTAAGGGCAGTATATAGAGGTTGAACAGTAACGGGCCGAGAATTGAACCTTGTGGGACACCCCAACGTAGAGGCTGTGACTCTGATGAACAGCCGTCCAACATGACCCTAGCAGACCTGTTACAAAAGTATGACCTAAACCAATCCAGGGCAGTGCCTGAAATGCCAGCCCAAGTGTGAAGTCTTGTGATCAAAATGTCATGATCGATCGTGTCGAATGCTGCAGATAGATCCAAAAGTACCAGAACCACATGGAAACCTGAATCTAAAGCCAGAAAAATGTCATTAAACACCCGAACGTGAGCAGTTTCAGTGCTGTGCTGTTGTCTAAAACCAGACTGACAGGTGTCCATTACCTGATATTCATTTAGATGGTTCACCAACTGTTCATAGACTATTTTCTCAAGGACCTTAGATAAAAACGGTAATTTGGAAATTGGTCGTAGATTAGAGTAATCGGTGGGATCAAGGCCGGGTTTTTTCAGGATTGGTTGTAGAACAGCGTGTTTAAAGGCACGAGGAACTTCAGCCAATGCCAAGCTACAATTTATAATGCGTAGCACGTTATTGCTAATTAAAGGAAACACCTCTTTCAGGAGTCGAGGTGGGATAACATCATCTGGGGAGCCAGAGGGTTTCATGGCTGCAACAGTTTTTTCTAGACAGGCCAAAGAGATGGGCTGAAAGCTTTGATGTTGCCCGTGAGAAGGGATAAATGAATCTGGAACATGGTTGGTTTGGTGAATCTGAGCTCTGATTACAGTAATCTTATTTAAGAAAAACTGCAGGATTTGGCTACACAAGTCAGCGGACACAGAGGAAAATAGATTTTGAACTGGGGAAAGCACTGCATTTATGGTTTTATATAACACACCTTGATTGTTTGAATTAGCCGTGACAATGCTGGCAAAAAATCGATTTCTCGCTCCTCTGACTACTTTTTGATACTAAGACCAAGCCTCTCTCATGGCCTCAAAGGATACAGTAAGCCTGTCTTTTATCCATTTACGTTCCAGTCTCCTGCAATTTCGTCTCATGGAACGAGTTTGTTCGTTCAGCCATGGGTCTGACTTGGATTTCTTTCGACTTGATTTTAATGGAGCGACAATATCCATAGCAGCCAGGCAGGATGAATCAAGCACATGAAGTGATCCCTCAACTACAGAAGACGCAATAGTAGAATCATATGGAGCTGCGTTCAGAGTAAGAACAGCGGCAAAATCTGCAGCAGTATTGGGTGTGATTACACGAGAGAAGCTGGGACGGAAATATTCAATACGAGGGGCATAGTCCAATTTCAAGTTAAACAAAACTCCTTTAGCTCCTTTAGCTCTCCTTTAGCTCTAAACTATAATTCTGTTATCAATAATATTAATTACCGGTACACGTCAAACAGCAGAAACAAATCCTTTCAGGCTTGTTTTGTTTAAAATGATGGGGATAAGAAGACAGCAGGTGCTGGTCCATGAGGTTGGGTCATGAAGGAGCAATTCAGCACTAATGAAAACATGATGCTGCACACAAAGATGAAGAAAAACAAACACTGTGATAATAAAGTTAAAATAAAAGCAGATGTTGCAGAAATTCCTTACTGGATACTGCATAGAGCAATATTGCTTCACAGTAGGGCTGCACAATATTAGGAAAACCTGCGATATTCGATAACAGTGCTTAATATTGCGATATCGATATTACTCACGAGAAATGAACAAATACTAAAGTATGCAGTGTTGATGTCGTCTGGCGTGTGACGTCTGCTCTGGGTTCAAAGCAAACAAAAACTAATGCATGAATTCCATTACAACATAACATTTTTATTGTAAAACATGCAGCTGCACCTGCTACTGTATTAGCAGCAAAACAACAAACTGCATGCATGCAGTTTCTCAGTGACTTTAAAACATCACCTCCACCATAAAACTTTTTCTGACGCTCCAAATACAGAAAAACATCCCTTACCAGGGTTTTTTGAATAAATAAATAAATCAGAAAATAAGTTTAAATGTTAAATAATAGTTGACATCACTTAAATGCAACAGCAAATTCTCTCATTGCTACTGAACTTTTTATCAACTTATGTGGTTATGATATAAGGCTGTTGCTGTAATTGGGAAGTGATCTGTGCTGGGCCAAACTAGGAGAATATTAAGATTTTCCGAGGGAAAGAGAAAAAAAATTGTCTACCTTTCAGAAGAGGAACTGGCAAAAAACTACATGGAAAATATGTGAAAACGTTTGGTTTTAACCCCAAATTGAACAAGTTTACCTAGATCTTAAAAAGCAGCTCAGATGATGAAACTGTAACTATGATTCTGATAACAAGCTAACAAATTGAACTAGCTCCTCTAAGATAACCGGCTAGCAGAGCTTCTGACTGACAGTTTATGTGCAGCAGCAAACCAACTATCCTGATTAACAAGGTTATAAAAGCTCATAAATGAAAAATCACTTTGATGTGTGGGGAAACTTTTCCAGGCCCTCTTTAGCAGGGTGGGACTGGGAGGAGAGTGCTGTAGCCTTTTAGCTGGAAGCTAACCGGAGCCTGGGGCTAACATCACCACCCGGTGGAACACTAGCGACATGAAGGTGGGTTGGTTCACCGGCACGTGTCGGAGTCAGCCCGGTAAAAATGATTAACGGCACCGAGCGGACTCACGTTCACGTTTGAAAGCAGCGCTGAATCCAGAAACCTCAGCACAAAGTGCGTTCGTTGCTCTGAGCCAGCATGACGAACAAGGGAACGGCGCCGCTAACTAAGTTCGGGTGTTGCTTTCCATCCTAAGGGTCTACGTAGGGGGCGGGCGTTTTACGTGAACAGACCCATCTGATTGGCCGCATATCAGCAGGGCTACATTTGATTGGTCAAATAATACACCCGCGCAGCAAACAAAAAGTTGATGTATGGCACGGATGGAAATGTTTGAACCGACCATTTATCGCCGTTTTTGGCGTGCTTTGTGATGGGCCTATCGCACGTCCTGTTATCCCGATGACGATAATTTTTCGATATATTGTGCAGCCCTACTTCACAGCAAGAAGGCTGCAGGTTTGAGTCCCGACTGCGGACATGAATCGTTTTCTCCCTGTGCAAGCGCGAGATCGGTGGACTCAGTGGTCTCCTTTAAAGAGCAGCAGGCTGGTTTGGTCGGACTTTGTCTTCATGCTGCTGTTTCTGTCAGCGCTTCAGGATTGTGTTCCCTTGTTTTCAGTTTTTATTTTTCAATCTTAATTTTTTACTTTACCCTTTAAAACAAATCTTTATTTTATGACTTATTTCATTTAATCCTTTTTAAATTTTTAATTATAAAAAATAAATTCTTTCACCAGATGGATGGATAAATCTCATAAAGGAAACGGTACTTCCTTGCTGAAACCATTTAGTTGGTCTGGAGCTTCCACATGCATGGCCTCCAGGGCAGATTAGGTTTCACGCTTCAGCCGCTCATCTGAAACGTAGCAGCCTCACACTGAAAACCCAAGACAGAGCTAGTACTGCTTAGCGCACTAACAGGTACAATGTTTGTCATTCATGAGTCAATAAAAGTATCAACATGAAAACAGAGAAAAACCCACTGATTGTTGTTGCTAAAGCGAGAGATGCACCTGTTCACACGGCCGATACCTACGGCTGGCCGATAACTCTGCCGATAGAAAAAACATGTGTTCATGTTCAGCTTTAAAAAAAACTAACTTGTGTTTTTAAATAATAACAATAAAAACTGGGTTTTCAGATTTTTCAAGAAATAATTGCCTTAAATATGCAATAAATGTCATAATTTCAGATCTATTTGGGTCTTTTAAAATCACTTTCCACAAATATCGACCTCTAATGGGTCCTGGCCTAAATCGGTGCATCTGTAGGAAGAAAAGTGCAGAAGTCCATCGCTGAGTTTAAAAAGGTAACAGAACACACCCGTTTTATACATAGACTGTGTGTGTGTGTGTGTGTGTGTGTGTGTGTGTGTGTGTGTGAGAGAGAGAGAGAGAGAGAGATCACCTCCAGGATGTCACTGAGTGAAAGCAGGCCCTTGCTGAACTCATGAGCAACGCTCTGAAAACAAACACAAGTGTGAGCGAGGTGAGCGGAGACCCAGACTGTTAAGGAGGGAACGGCACCTTCTTCCTCTTGCTGGAAGTGGACTCGTATGTAGGGAGAGGGACGTGTGTCTCCAGGACGTCCCCCAGACACTCCATCAGCTTTTCATGATATTCCTTCACCTTCCTGATCTTCTCCTTGATCTCCAGCAGGATGCTGTTGGCACAACAATAAAATAAACTCATGCAAAAAGTCTGTCACCGTGCTGTCACGTTTCAACAAATCTGTTTTCTTTACTTTTTCATTCGTTATACAGTCACCTGCTGAGAACACACCCAGCCATCACACCCACCTGTGCCCTGACAAAGACTCCTGTTCCCGTTTAAGTCGTTCAGTGTGGTTTTTAGCCACTAGTAGCACCTGTTTCTTCTCCTCCAGCCATTTCTGTTCTCTTAAAAACAAGTCAAAAGATCCACTCAGCCTTGGAAAACATTTACATGCTCCGATGAAGCGGAGTAAGTTAGAGAAATGCCAGCAGTGCAACAGAAAGGTTACTCACAGCTCTTTAGTCTCTTTCAGCTTGTTTCTCCTGGCTTCACAACAAGAGACGACCATCTCGAGTTCGGAGCACAGCTTGAGCATCTGGGGTTGTTTTTAAAAGGAAATGCTTTCAAATTCTAAATTCATGAATCAATCGTTCTTGTTTGGATTTTTACACACCTCTTCTTTTACAGCTTGACGTAAAATTTCCGAATTTGTAGGCAGCGCTGGGTGGTGAACAGACACAGTTTTCACAAATTTTACATTTAAATATTTCAGATCTGAATGTCATTCTGACCCAAATTGAGGGATCCTGACTCTTGTGTGATGTTAGTACACTTGCTGTAACTATCTAAATGTAAAATACTACTGTGGGGCAGTGACTTACAGCTCGACTCCATCAACAGCCACTGCTTCACTTCTGCTTCAGTTGCAATCAGTCGGTTTAGGGCATGCTGGAGGCAAATATTTACAAAGGAAATATGACACATCGATAAGCACAAGGTGAGTTGTTTTAAATGCATTTATGTAACTGAAGTGCAATAATAAAACAAAACTAGGTTAAAGACAAAATTAGAAAAACAGGGAGCCTAAGACTCGTCCCCGTTCGGTCGGCTTATGGGTCCATGAACGGGGCTGTAAAATTATTTTTGGTCTGCTCTGCCTTACGCTCTGAATCACACATATGTTGTACTTCAGTTTAAAAGAAAAGGAATGATGTGTGTTTCAACTATGTCTGTCACACAATCTGAGGTCTGTTAGTTTGTAGAAAATGGTAATTAAAAAGACTACAAATTAGACGTGTCATATATGACATCACAGCAGAATCTCTACCCCAGCGTAGCTGCTACTCACCAAATGACCAGATTTTACTGGTTTTCTTCATGTTTAATTCTCTTTCTGTCATCCTGGAAGGATGTGAAGCTCGCTAAACTCACAGACATTATTCTTCTCTGTGTCTGGTTTCATGATGTAAGAGACGAGCATTTGTAGTCCCATACATCGTTTCACACAAAACCTAAAATAACTTTTTCCTCCTGTCAAAAATAAGCACTTTCTTGGCACCAAAATAAGTCTTTAAAATTCATGGACCTCACATGTGAAATCCATGGCACAAATCAAACTGGATCAGACAATAACTTTTATCTGCTCATAGACTCCCATTCATTTGTTGACAGAAGGGGGGGACCCACAGACCGGAAGTAGATAGGCGTGGCTTAGGCTAAAACTTAAATGCGCTTATCATTGCTCCTTTTGCTCACCTGAAGAAAGAATGCTGAAGTTAAAGTCGTAAAAACGTCAAGCTAATGATTTTAAACATTCAACCATCTCACCTGATCAGGAGGAAATTCTGAGTCACTGAGTAACACGACATTCTGAAGCTGCAACACAAACAAACATCACGTTGGTTGGTTGGTTACCGCACATCACATCAAACAGACTCATGCTGAAGGATGGTTGCTTAACCTCCTCCAGGCGGTTGAACTGTTTCTCACAAAGATCCATCAGCTCAGTCTGAGCGGCATCGGATAGCCGGGCTTCTGCCTCCCCCTCTGATCTCACCTCACCCTGACCAGAAAGAAAACACCGCCGATACACGTCAGACGTTCATATCTTTACGTATAAACACAAAAGAGCGTTAAAAAGCGGGATCGTTCGTTTAAACTCGCGTTTCCTTTTAAAATGAGAATATATTAATTGAGTTTGGCTGATGTTAGCAATTGCGATATTCTCTAATTCAAACAAAGAAAATAATGAAACACAATATTAAATGTATGCTAAAGTTATAAAGACAAGTCATATAACACGAATTCTCACCATGTTCATAAAAAGTGCACTTTTTTAGCCACTCGGAGACGAGCAGGCGCTAGCTTTCTTTCAAAATACCGCCTCGTCTGATGACGTCATGACTACGACGGCGCAAAGGCTGATGGGAAGTTGCTTGCAGCTGTTCTGTCCACAGATAAACATAAATGTTTATACACACGTATGGTTCTGTTCTCCAGCTCAACCAAAGGTCTGTTTTCCGGCAGGAGAATGGAAACATGCGCGTGCTTTTTCACGTCCTGGGCTCTGGAGAACAATATAGAAAATAAAAATAACTTTACAGGTGTTTAATTTTGTTTGTGTTATTAGCAAAAAATAATATTAAAAATAAGAATTAAAGAATGGTCCACAAAATCAATGACAATGTGTGTTTACAAGAAAATGACACTCTCAACATTTTGAAAAAATAAAATAATAATAAAAATAGAATACATTCAAAAAGGTTTATAAAGAAAATAATGTGGCGTAATTACGTTCTGACTTGAAACCTGAAACAAATAATTAGTACTTTAATTTATCCTCAAGATCTTACGGTTTTACTTGCAATGTGTTTATAATTATGTGTTATGTTTGTGCAGTAGTCCGGCTCAAACGGCGTATTTGCACAGGGAACTTTTCAAGAATGCATTTTTTTGCGCAGAAGTATTTCCCCGCCGGTCAAAAAAAAGTATAAAATCTAAAATGTCGTAAATCTGTCCACTACACATGTGTTAGAGCTCACGATAACATGTTATGTTGAGGTGAAAGTGTGTTTGCGTCATTCTTTTATCAGATTTTCTCCAGAGTGGCCGATCTGTGTCCACCAGCAGGTGTCACTGTTTGTCTCCTTTCTTCAGCTCAAAGGAACATTTCTCCATAAATTAGAAATTTGCATTAATTTGCTTTGAAATTGTACAGATTTAATGGAAATGTTCTTTTTTCTGTGCTTACTGACATTCTTCTTTTCTTTAGTTTTTCTTAATTTTTTGCACATTTGAAGAATGTGCCACTAACTGTCATAATAATTCATTTAGGTCTGAGTTAGAAGTTTTAAAACTTAGATGTACGTATTATTGTTCATTTCGCTCACCTGAATAATGATTTTGTTGTTGCGTTTCTCTCTGACAGACTACTAAATTTATTTTACGAATTTCACGTTTAACCCTTTTTAAACGTTTGGACACGTGTTGGTTTGCCAGCGTTTTATTCACGCTTACACTCATTTTAAAGAGTTTTAGGAGCAATGTTGGTGTTAATTGGACATTTTAAAAATGATCATCATTACTATCAGTGGAAGAATATTATACAAACGCCTCGAATTTGATAAATGCTTTTTAAATGTAGTGATGATCATTAATGAGGTGTAATTTTACTCATTTAGAAAGTCAAAACTACTAATTTCTTTCTATCTTGTTAGGTATTTATTTCACTTTTAACTACCTCTACTTTATGAATCTTATTCTTCATGTAAGTGCAAAAATAATAATATAATTAAAATAAAGATTTCCTCTCTGCTTTCTCCTTTGTACATCTGCTTTTCTCCATTAAACGTTTTGGCCTCTGACGAATATGTTTATGATGTATATTTTTATTTATTATTACCCAACAAAACTGGAAAGTATTTATGAACACATTCCTCTGTGGGGCGTTTGGATCCAGCGTGCTGCAGCAGCTGGAGCTGAGAGGATAGATAGACTGTTTATCCTGTTTTTGCTACCATCCCAGAAATCACAGATTATTTCAATAATCAACTAGAATTTGATTAATATGCAAATTTCTCAGCAAACCGTTCCATTTGAGCCCTCAGCGCAGCCTAATTAATCAACAGTTAAAGGAAATTAATACATACATCAATTCTGTCAGGAACATGCTTAGTTCAATCGCCCGTAAAATTGAAGTTTGAAGTATTAACTGGCTCCACAGGAAGGCTATGATTAAAGCTCCACATTTTGGCTCCATTTAGAGATATAGAGTGGTTTAACTGCGTCCCTCTAGTGCAGGTTTTAAAATCTGAATTAAAATATAAAATAAGTTGGGATTATTATTATTATTATTATTATTATTATTATTATTACTATTACTACTACTATTATTATTATTATTATTATTATTATTATTATTATTATTAGTAGTAGTAGTAGTAGTAGTAGTAGTAGTAGTAGTAGTGGTAGTAGTAGTAGTAGTAGTAGTAGTATAGGCAACAATTTGTTTGTCTAGATTTTTTAAAATCATTCAGACAAGATGAAGCAGTGGAGTAAATGCTGCTCCTCATATTTCCACCTGGCAATGTTTTTCCACAAGTGCAAACAGAGAGAGAGAGAGAGAGAGAGAGAGAGAGAGAGAGAGAGAGAGAGAGAGAGAGAGAGAGAGAGAGAGAGAGAGAGAGAGAGAGAGCGAGCTGCTCCATTGTTTCAGTGGGACTCATGCATCAAACTTCAATTTTCCGGACGATTGAAGTAGTGATTTTTTCTATCTTGAAGTGAAATACTGAAATACACTTAAGACCTCCAGATTAATTACTACGAAGTGGTCCCTCAGACTGTAGTATTACTTATCACAGGCCGCCTGACAAGCACTCATAAAATAAGCAGGAGAAATCTATAAACTTAGCCTGCCTCAACACTCTCCCTTCATAAATATGCTTGATTCAGGACAGAGCAGCACGCGCGCGCACACACGCTTACACACACACACACGTACACACACACACACACACACTGACGTGCCATTTGCAGGTAAATATGATGATTTAATTATTATTTGGAGCTTAAATTTGAAGCTCTTTACTAACTTATGAAGGTAAATATTGAATAAATGATGATAAAATAAGGAATAAAGACATTAAACCGTGGAAGGCAGAGCAGGAGGAGCAGATTAATGTGTTTTTGTTGCAGCACTTGTCGGGAAAATTGAACTAAATTAAATATTTTTAAAATATTAGAACACTTTAATAATTATTATTTCTAAAGCCTTTTTGGCCTAAATGAAAATATTAACAATTAAAACCAAAGAAAATGTTTATTTTTCCTGTCGTGAACGTTAACGTGTTTCATTGTTATGTCATAATAAGATGCTGACGTCAGAAACAACACGATTAAAATAGTAAAAACATAATTTCCCCTTGGACTAATTAGCTATATAATATAGGCCCAGTTGTATTCAGGGTTACCTTATTCAGAAGAACTAACACTAAACAAGACTTCTGCCAACAAAGAGCGTTAAACGAGAGCTCATCTTTCAGCTCTGCCTGCTTCCCACATCTCATGTTTTCAGCTTCATTAAACTCCTTAAAGACAAAAGAAATAAAGAAGAAACCAAACAAAAGGCTCCCTAACCCCAACTCTTTATGGCCGCCTATTAACACCACCAAATCCATTTCTGGAGCCTCTTGGACAGAAGTCAAACATATTATTCCAGAGCTAAAAGCGGATGAAGACAAAAAGCAAGAGAGGCAGTTTCATTGTAATTCATTGACTTGTTCAGGCACAGAAAAGGGGCTAGACGTTAATAGCCGCAGATGCCCTGATGGAGGGGGGCTCTATGTAGGCACTATGGCCTTTGTTCGCTCCCAGTTAAACTGTTTAAAAAGGAGGGTTAACTCAATCCATCAAATTGTCTGGAAGTGTGAGGAAATTTCAAAAACCATATGGCTTCCAAACGTTTGCGTCCTTTCTGTGCGGTGGGACACGCTTGTCTCAGTATTGCTGCCTGCGGGGGAGCGGCCCTGCGCCTTTGTGCGGCGTCCCATCAGGGGACCGCTGCTCATTTGTCCCCACTTTTCATGCTTTACGCTGAAATTACGGCCCAGTCCCGCAGAACAAAAAAAAAAAAAGGTCCATAAAGGCCCGGGAAACTGGCCCAAAACTTTGTGTTTTTTTGTGTGGCAACCTCTTCTTTTTTCTCTTTCTTCTCTCCCGGCTCCAGATTTGTGTTTCTCACATAAATTTTTTGCCCGAATGGAGAAACACGTCTGAGGGTCAAGAAGCCACGTTACGCATTTAGGACGTGAAAAGGGGATGTTTGGAGCATCCTGCTTATAGGAAGAAAAAAACACACACACAAAGGATGCGAAATAAAAACTCCAAACATGCCGTTTGTCTGCATTTGGCTGTTTGAAGTTCAGAAATCAGAACATAAACGAGTCCAACATAAATACAAGAATTGTGAAAATTAAAGAAATAGTCAGAAAAGCAACTTTATTCCCATAGTAGCCTATTTACATACAGTCTGTGCATTGGTTTCAGATCATGTCCTGATTTCAGAAAGGCACTTACAGGTGTACAAAACACAACAAGTTTATAGGAACTGTAAATCTATCGCAGCCAAACCATCTAAAAAGTATAGCGTGTTAAAATCACCGCAACAGCATCCGCAGTGTCACGCAAACTAGCGCGTGAGCGTCCCCGTCAAACCTACAAGGTCCGAGTTTAGCCTCTTTATCATCATCATCATCATCATCATCATCATCATCATCATCATCATCATCACCACCACGCGCCGCAGCATCGGGACGCAGAAAAGAGCTGGAGTAAAGAGGAGGCGTCGGCAGTGACTAATTTGGCTCGCGAGAAAAAAATAAAGTCAAATAAAAATAATTAAATATAAAAAGGCAAATAAATAGATAATGATCACAAATCAAATCATGCATTTTCATGCTAATAAATGAAAAACGGAGCGCTGTGTGTGTGTGTGTGTGTGTGTGTGTGTGTGTGTGTGTGTGTGTGTGTGTGTGTGTGTGTGTGTGTGTGTGTGTGTGTGTGTGTGTGTGTGTGTGTGTGTGTGTGTGGACAGGCCTGTGTGTGTTCCATAGAAAATAAACTCATATTGCTTTGATCCAGATGAATTCGCTGCATATGTCTTGTTCTGCGTTCATGCGTCACTATGAGAATCTGCGCCGGTAGAAAGTCTCTGAACTTTGGGTACATGTTGCTGAGATACAATATAAGCAGTAAGTGTACAAGTCCTCAGCGGGCTTCGTCCCCGCGCGCTGCTCCAGGTGCGCCATCAGTCATCCACATCAATCTCCACGTCCTCGTCCTCTGAGCACTCTTTACTTGTTGTGTGGTCTGAGAAGGGGGACAGCGGCGACGTCCGCAGTTTCTGAGCGAGCTCGTGCTCCTGCTGGCCTCCCCGCGCGGGGGACTCGGCTCGCGGGTGGCCTAGCGTGCCGTTGGCGCATTTCTCCAAGTCCGCCAACTTGGCAAGCTTGTCCAATGGGACCTGGCCGACGGCCTTGGCCGACTCCACGTCGGCTTTCATCTCCTCCAGGTCTCGTTTTAGCTTTGCTCTCCGGTTCTGGAACCACGTGATGACCTGCGCGTTCGTCAGGCCCAGTTGCTGAGCGATCTGGTCGCGGTCTGCCGGGGACAGGTACTTCTGGTACAGGAAGCGCTTTTCCAGCTCGTAGATCTGGTGGTTAGTGAAGGCCGTCCGGGACTTCCGGCGCTTCTTCGGGGTGGTTCTCTGGCCGAACAGCGTCATCCCGTCGCGGCCTGTGAGGAAGAGAAGAGGATGAGCGAAAATCAGCGATTCGAGCTGATAAAGAAAGCTGAAGTTGTGCGTAAAAGCACCACCCAGCGCCAAAAAGGAAATTAAAAGTTCAAAAAAAGAAAAAAAAATCCACGAAATTATAAACGGCAGGATGAACACTTTCTGTTCAATAAAAGAAGCGAAAACACCACAGGGTATTATCGCCGTGCCATTAAAATCACAGTCAGAAAGCACCGTCTGATTAGCTCCAAGGGCATTGAAACTCCAGTTTGGTGCGTAAATTTAAAAAGGAGAGAAAGAAATGTTGCATGTTTGCGTTTTTACCTTCCGCAGCCTGCAGCACGCTGACTTCCAGCCCTTTGAAGGTCTTACTGGCCAGCTCCTCCAGCGCGCACAGAGGCGACGTCTGGGTGAGCAGAGCCCGACTGGACAGAGGGATGTTGGACGGTCGGTGCTTCTCAGAGGACGAAATGATGTGCGCCGTGCCGCAGATCGTGTAGCTTCGCTTCATGGACGGCTTGTTGAGGATGTCGTCGATGCTGAAGGGCGTCAGCGGCTTGTTGGAGTTGGCAGGAGGCGGCAAGTGGTCTAGCGGGCTTCGCCTCCTGCTCTCCGCTGCATCACATTTGGCCACTTCTTTGGATGTCATTATCAGGGTTGGGGGAGTTTCAAACGGCCGGAATATATAATAGTCTAGAAGAAAACGGGGCTGTGAAAGAGAGGAGGAAGACACATAACAGTCTAAGAAAACGGTCGAGGAGAAGAGAATGTAGAAAATCGTATTCCGAAGTAGGATGCGCTCAGAGAGTCGATCCTCGGGAGCAGCGAGTCCGCAGGAGTCGGATGCCTCCCTGAAAATGGCGAAGTCCAAAGAGTTGAGATTACTAACAAGTTATCATTGATTGGGAGGTAATCAATTATCTCCAGTGGCACTTTCGCCCTCTTCCCTTTCACTCTTTGACTATGTTGCAGTCCACTGCTGGGCTTTTTGCGACTGGGGGTGTCCCATTAATTAGGACGCATGGCTGGAAGGAGGAGGAGCCCGGCGGAATTATGATGCTTTGTGCTCTTATCATCTTTGGTCTAATTTAGTCGTGTGGTGAGACACCGGAAAGGGTTCGTGGGATAAATGATGGAGGAGAGAGAGAATCTGGCCCATTTTACGCGTGAAACTTCCGTTCCGCCGCAGCTTTCATGTTCAGAAATCAAAAAGAAGAGGAGTCAGGTGAGTTTAGTCCGGACGCGTTTCTCCACCAAAGCCCGGATGATCCTTTGTTTTGTAAAGGTAACGCAGAGCCGGACCATATATCAGCTCTGATGATGCCTCCTCCGGGGAGGGGAGAGAGGGAGCAGCGCGCGCGCCTCTCAGCTACGCCGAACCGGGGCCATAACTCAGGCAAAGGCTCCTTTCAGATCATCTGAGAAATATTTCATTTCCTCGCAGATCTCCGAGCATCTTGCAGGTTTGAGGTGACGGCTTTGTTCTGACGCTGGACGGATGAATCAGCTCCATCTTTATAAGTCAGGAGAGAAGTTCAGATGCAAAATTAGAGTTCCTTTGATCAAAAACAGCAAAAACAGTCCAGTTTACCCGCAGTATTATTATTATTATTATTATTATTATTATTATTATTATTATTATTATTATTATTCACGGTTTGCCCTGTTTCTTGTCAGGGTTACAGTAGTTAAATTCTAGTAAAACAAGAAAAACAACAACAACAATAATAATAATAAAATAATAATAATAATAATAATAATAATAATAATAATAATAATAATAATAATAATAATAATAATAATAATAATAATAATAATAATAATAATAGGACATTGGAATAGCTAAACGTTATTTTTCGTATTTCAATTTTTAGGATATTATTAAAATATTTAAGGTGATTTTAGGTCAAATAATTAATTAAATAAAAGCGGTTTTTTCCATTTTTAAAACGAATTAGTTTTTTTATTTGTACAAACTTGAAATTAAATGAAGTATAATAAACGATCTTGTTAAAAAGTAAAGGAGTGAATTAAACTACAGAAAGTGTTGATTTGAGTTCTTTGCTTTTTAATGTTTTAACTAAAAACTAAGTTAAAACCATGGGTGCCATTTTAATGTTACCATTGCTGTTTGTCAGGCTTTGCGGTGGGAACGGGGACGCAGAATGAACCGTTCTTTGCATGTTTTGAGGTGAATTATCTGTTTCTTTTTTTAACCACATTCACTCACAAAACAACAGCAAAATAAAACAGCACTTCCATAATTTACGTTTGAAATGGTTCCATCCTAAAATAAGGAAACAATCTGGGTGAAAACTCTTTTAAATCCAGTTTAGTTTGATTGGGATTTTAAATATTTACATAAACCACAATTTTTACAACGACTGAAGTTTACTCTTTAATTCATTTAGAAAAATCATTCAATGTGTTTTAAAATATGGAACAAAATGATGTTATGTTCGATGTAGAACATGTTCTGAGTTAATTACACACACATAAATGTGTGTTTTTCACACCAACATGCTCCTCTTTAACCAGAGAGAACTTCATTCCTCAACATCCATTTTTCATTCGACCAGAACGGGTTGATTCAGGGACGTTTTCCATAAAACTCTCCAGCATTTAATGCATCACTCTGTTGCGAAGCAGGTGTTGATTAAAGCCTTTCACACTGCGGTCTGTGAGCTTAAGGTGTGTTTTCTGTGGGTGACCTCCTGCAGGAGGACAGCAGACTCGGGCTGCCATCAGACAGCTGCAGGGAAGACCGTCCCCATAGATGGGTGTCACATCGCCCTCTCCCAAAGGGCTGCCCCTCCTGACACCGGATATGGATGCACAGAGAGGAAGGAGAGAAAGCCCGGCTCAGACGTGTGTCTTTAAAACTTGTACTGTATAAATCACATGTCATTACCAGAGGTCACCGGCTGAGGAGCATCATTGGACGGCTTCGTCGTGAGGGCCAGTCTGGTTGGAGGAGAGAGGATTTATCTGGCAGTTGGATCTCCAGAGAGGCGGCCATATTTTATGTGACTAGAGATGTAATAACAGGCCTTTGACAAATCCCCGACGGCCCGGATTCTCCTGCAGAGTGTGTGCAGCTGGAGCAGCAGATCAGAAGCTGCACCGTTAGCAGAGCGCCTTTCTTCTATACTCCTCAGCTGGTTAGATCTTTAGCTGGATGGTTTGTGGCAACATCTCATCTCACAAATTCAACTTAGCCTCAGATCTTAATGAAATAAACCCAGAGCCGACACGAAGGATCACTCAGTTTCATTATGATTTAGAAATGAGTAAAACAAGAAGAAAGGTTTTTTATTTTTCCTGTTGAATGTAATATAAAACATACTTTTGAACATTTATGTTTGGCTGCTTTTTCAAAATCAGAAATTAAAATGTAAACTAAATTTAACATGAATTCATTTTGTTTTTGAAAGATCTAGAATAAACGGGTCCAAAGGCATATTTCTGAGATTGTTTCAGGAACGTTTGTTTTTATTCAGAGAAATAATGAAAGCAGCAAAAATGAAAGTAAACAAGCATTAAAAGTTGTTATTATTATTGTTTTTACCAGAGACATTTATTTTAAAAATGTGACATTTTTTCCTGTTTCAGAAATATTTAAAAATTAAATACAAATATAAATAATTCTGGAATAATTTTACACAAAGCTGCTTTTTCGTTATTAAACAAACATTTTTATTGATGTAAAAATCATTTGTTGAACACTTAAAAAAGTATTTCATTTAATAAATAAAAAAATGTTTTAACTTTTCTCTCTGTGCTGTAGTTATCACATAATATAAATTATTTCAGTTCAATGTTTTATTTAAAAATAAACAATTTTACTGGAATAAAAGTGCAGAATTGTATTATTTATTATTTATGTCTGAAAAAATCTTTTAAAAATGCCATTTCTGTCTTAAAATCCTCACACCTAAACCTTCCTGCCAAGAGTAAACAAACAAACAAAGAGCACAGTAAATGCTGAGTGTTGAGCAGGGGAGGCAGGAACAGGTGCACATTCTCCCAGGAAACACAAGAAGCGCAGGAGCCCCACGCTGGGAGCCCGATGTGGCGTCGACAGAAGCTCCGTCTCCTCGCTGCTGCGGAGCTACAAAGAGCCATTCAGCCAACCAACATGTTCACGTCCCTCAGGAGTAAAAATCTGAAGTTTGGGATCAGGATCTCACCTGCAGGCCGCTCTCGGCCCGCTCTGCCAGCAGGAGCAGGCCGGGTGTGGGCTGGGGCCTGCACACCAACTTGTTGTTGGCTCAGTTGGAACAGAAAATATTCCTGATTCACACATTTGTGAAACTATTCAAACTGTTTTGTTGTCTAATCAAAGCGTGACTCCTGCACACCCTCCCAGCAGCTTCATCCCAATCTTCCTCCTCCTTCTCATCCCAACGTCTCCATAAAACACCGAAAGAATCCAGACTGGAGAAGATTATTCAGAGGCTCCGGTAATGAAAACCACCAGAGGAGAACTGGGAAGAATTATGACAGCAGTCGTTTAGTTTTCATTCGTGCAGACTGTTCGTTCATTTATTTATTTATTTATTTGTCCTTCTTTAATGCAAAGGACGGGTAAAGAGACCTGGAGGTGAGAAACAACAGAAACCTAATTTGGAGCGTGTCTACCACGATTCTGTGTAAAAGCTCTAATCTTGTTTATTTGTTGTTGTTTGTAATATTTATCTGCTCAGCGTCTCCTGCATTAGTCAAGTGTCGTTGTCCCACAAGGCTGCAGAAGGCTGCTCGTATGATGCAAACGCATTTTAAATATATAAAAAGGTTAACCAGCCGCTGTAATTACACGACGAGGCCTCGGTCAGGATCACTCAGCGCCACGAGGGTTTTCCCAAGATGGTCACATGGGACAGATCAGCTGTTGTTGCTCAAAGGAGAGAAATCCCGTCTTCCTTCTCATCCCCCTCCATCCTCACCCGATCCAACACACACATACACACACACACACACACACACACACACACACACACACACACACACACACACACACACACACACACACACACACACACACACACACACACACACACACACACACACACACACTTTGAGAGATGGCCTCTGTCTTTCAATTAGCCTGCGACGGCGCTCTTACAAGGCTGGCGTCTGGCGCGTCGGGCCGGCGGCAGATGCTGCTGAGGACCGGCCGTCCTTCTGCAGCCTGCAGCCTGTACTGAATGGTCATTAGGGTGGAGCTGACTATTCATGGCAGGAGAAGTGGCTTCACGTCGGCGGGGACGCTGCTACATCAGGTTACCTTTATTCTCTTCCTCTCTGTGGGGTTTTTAAGGAAGGAGGGGGCGGGGTCTGATTAGCAGGATAGAAAACAATGACATCACCTGCAGCAGGTTACTTCTATCAGAATCTGGAGTCTTGTTATGTAATCTTAGAGCAGAGCGAGAAAGAATGAGGGGAACAGCTCAAGAACGCTCCCGTCGAGCCGCTCTGCTACGTTGGTGCGTGATTTGTCGACTCGCAGTGGGTTCGTTCATGAAGCACCTGGCAACCCGGCTCTGAGGAATATGGTGGCTGCCATGAACACACTCCAACACACACACAACCATATGCCCCGCCTTTGTCATTCCAATGAGCTCGGACAACATTCACCTCCTTTCACCAAATGTTATTAATACAAAACCCATGTGGAGGGGCCTGGGTCAACAGGGAGCCTCGCTACAACGCGCACACGCACACACACACACACACACACACACACACACCCTCTGCCGAGCCCCCATAGCTGGGCTGAGGAAATGTGAATTAGCTTCATCAATGCAGAGGTTAACATTGTGCAAAGATGATGTTGACCCCTGTTGTATTCCTGGTTTGATGTCTTTCTTTGGGGCCACATGCTTATGAATAAAAATGGCGAGGGGAGAGGCTGACAAAGGGATTTGTCTGACTAATGCCAAAGGAGAAGCCCTCAGGGAGAGCCTGCTTAAAGCCAACACCGCTGAACCCCCCCCTGCAGTATTATCCATCATGGAGCGGCTCACACGGCGCTGTTATTGTTTCTGCCA